GGGGACCAGCTAAACCCGGCGGAGAAGGTACAGGCGAGACAGTTACTGTGGGAGAAGCAGGCGACGTTCTCCCAAGAACCCGGGTACACTACCCTAGCTGTACACAAGGTCGAGACACCCGGACAGAACCCCCTACGACAACCCCCATACCGTATCCCTGAAGCAGTCCGAGAAGGAATGCGGACGGAGATACAGGAGATGACCAGGCTGGGGGTTATCGAACACTCAGACAGTCCTTGGGCCTCGCCTGTAGTTCTGGTGCCTAAGAAAGATGGGACCACCCGGTTCTGTGTGGACTACAGGCAGCTCAACGAGCGGACCACCACTGATGCCTACCCTATGCCCCGGGTAGACGAGTTATTAGACCGTATTGCCAGGGGGCGCTACTTGACCACCATTGACCTGTGTAAAGGTTAATGGCAGATCCCCCTGGCCGAGGATGCTCTCCCTAAGTCGGCATTCGTCACCCCATTTGGCCTGTACCAGTTTAAGGTTATGCCATTTGGGATGAAGAATGCTCCGGCTACGTTCCAGCGTATGGTGGATAGGCTCCTCGATGGCTTCCAGGACTTTGCATGTGCATACCTGGATGACATTGCGGTCTACAGTGAGTCCTGGGAAGACCATTTAGTACACGTGGGGGTGGTGCTGGACAAGATTCGGGCCGCAGGCCTGACCTTGAAGCCAGACAAGTGCCATCTAGGCATGGCAGAAGTACAGTACTTGGGTCACAGAGTAGGCTGTGGGAGCCAGAGACCGGAGCCAGCTAAGGTAGAGGCGGTGGCTAACTGGCCCACACCTATCACTAAGACCCAAGTGCTGGCCTTCTTGGGGACGGCAGGGTATTACCGACGTTTTGTCCCTGACTACAGTACGGTTGCTAAGCCTTTGACTGACCTGACTAAGAAGAATTTGCCTAAGCAGGTCCTGTGGTCTCCAGCTTGTGAAGCCGCGTTTCAAGCACTTAAGCAGGCTCTTGTTAATGCCCCTGTCCTGGCTGCCCCAGTCCCTAACAAATGTTTTCTTGTACATACAGATGCTTCCATGTATGGACTGGGGGCTGTGCTAAGCCAGGTCGGGGAAGATGGAGGAGAGCACCCTGTCGCATACTTAAGCAGAAAGTTACTACCCTGGGAAGTAAGTTATGCGGCAGTGGAGAAAGAGTGTTTAGCCCTGGTCTGGGCACTGAAGAAATTGAGCCCTTATTTATACGGACAAGAATTCTCCCTTATTACGGACCATAACCCCCTTGTCTGGCTTAACCGGGTCTCAGGAGACAATGGCAGATTGCTGAGGTGGAGTTTGGCACTACAGCCTTACAACTTCACCATCAGCTACCGACCCGGTAAGCAGAATGGGAACGCGGATGGGTTGTCCCAGCAAACAGACGTCCCTACTCCTTCCCAGTCCGGTCATCCCCAAGTTGACCCGCCAAAGGGTCAAGCCGGGTCTGCCGGAGTGTTCCACAAGGGGGGAGCCGTGTGACAGACCCATCTGTCTGGATTACAAATGCTTTGTTCGCCTGTTTTGCCGGTTACATGAATTTCCCCATTTGTATGCTTTATTCAAGGGAATGTCGGTTTTGTCGAACGAAACTACCGAACGGACGGCCACCCAGAAGAGAAGTGTGCTGCTGGTTAACCGATTGATCCCAATTAGAACGTTGCGGTTAACCACAGACACTTCTCAATTAAAACCGAATGCCGGGTGGTCGTCGTTCGGTGTTCGACGATTATTTCATGGATC